CTGGAAAGAAGTAAGTAGTAAGTCAAATGTGCAAGAAGGATACAGAAGAGATGAGGGAAGAGTGGCTTGCACGAGGTATATCAATACCTTGAACCTGGACAACAAGTCCTGTTCTAAGGAGGATTCTGGTGTGACTGACATCATTCAGGAAACAGGGAAAAAAAGAGGGATTTTAGTTCTAYTCTCTCCCACTTTGTGAGCAGGATATTTCCACTGATGCAGACTATTGAGAGAGCTGACCAGGACACTGCAGTACACTAWCAGCAGTCCTGCCATGCTCCATGCTGAGCAGAGAGATATGCTTCTCTTTTTTTATAAGTCCACATATAGAATATATACATGCCTTTCCCATAGCACAAACTCCATATGGGAACAGTAAGTTGATAGATCTGCTGCAAGCCTTGAAACCCACTCAAAACATTTTAAATTCCCGTCAATTCACAATCCCACCTGGTCTCAATCCTCAATCAGAAAGAAGTTCAAATCCAAGTGGATCCTCAGCTTGTCTTCCCGCCTCCTCTCACCACGTCTGCCTAAATCTCTGCTTTTAACAATGTTCTCACAGAAGACTGTGGACTTGGCTGCACTATCTGATTTCTTGAAGCAGGGCATCAGGAGGTCATTTTCAGGTGTGTGTTGCTCTCATGGACATTACTATGAAGCTAGGTGACAGACAAGATAGATGTTGGCAGATGACAGCACGACTGTTTTAAAGTCTGTCGGTGAATTATGTATTTTACCAGTCATTTTCTGCTCTGGAGGATGTTATCTGTGTCTGTCTAATTATAGGAAAGCTGTACAGATTGTGTCAAAACTGCCCACAATTATTCAAGCTGCACCAGTTACAGCTGACAAAACATGCACATCTCCTAATTAAGAACATTTTAAAACTGACTTTAAATTAAGAAAACCTCCCCACCTTCACTTCTTGACAACTTACTCTGAGACTTCTCTATAGGCAGGAGAAGGAAAGGGAGATTTTTTTTTTCCTCCTTCATCTCTTAACTATTTAGTGAACTAAAATAAGTCATAATGTGCAAACAGTATGTCAGAATGAAAGCCTTTGCCTTGACAGATTGCACAGAATAAAATAAAAGTTGTGTTGTTCTTGACATCTGAAGCACAGAATGTAGCAGAAAGTGTGCACATGCTTTAAATACATCGTTATTTTAAAGATCTCCAAATGTTTGGACATCTCAAGCAACAGAGTAATTCATTCATCCATTTAAGCTAATGACATGTTGCTTTTGATGGTTCTTGGGTGAGCGAGCAACACTCATTCCCGTGAATGGCACAGGAAGGCTTCTAATTTGATTTTCCAAAGCTGTAGTGAATCCTGGGAACAGCATATGRAAATATGCAGCCCTTCTGCCTGGTTTGCTTTTCTAAACAGTGCAATTCATTTTCATTTTGAGCTTATAGACAGACACTGAAAGGTCAGCACTTCTCCAGACACGTGTAATTTTGTTTTCCAATCCTAGCTTGGAAGTCCTCGCTTTTAGTGAACTCCTCTTTGATGATGATGAAGGAGCAGCTCCTGAASCTAGAGAGGACCTCAGCTCAACATTTCAGTTCTCTAGAGACATGCCAATTTTGGGGGACGAAGACATGAAATGAGTGAAAGATGGAGCTGCCTAGAGAAACTAAATATAAACTTTCATGTTTAAGAACAGATGAGAGGGCAAGGAAAGAAAGTACTCACTGCACACGAGGAAATATGTTTACAAGCAGTTGGAAACGATTTCACAGTGTCATTTCCAAGTCAAATGGAAGAAGAAAACAGAAATAACCAAACTCATGACCTGATGACAGCTTGGGGAGCGCTTCTCACGAGGAGGTAGAGGGGATGCCAAAGTGACATATCCTAGCTGGCAGCTTATTAAAAAGGCAAGGAGCTGATAGCAGAGCTCAGTTTCTGCCCACCCACAGGCAAGAAGCCCTCGGAGTGCATCGACAGGAGGTATCTCATCTTCTCGCATGGCTCTCCATGATGTTTTTGGCCAAGTGGGAAATCGCCATCCAGTGATSCTGGAGCTGTTGCCCTCAACAGTCGTTTGTGCTCTTGGACCAGCCTTTTTACCATTAATAAACTCTGTAGTCAGTGAAGCTTAGTTCATTGATGATGTAAAACTCAGGCAGCTTAAATTAGAGCTTTCAGTTGAGAATAGCTGTATAATAAGAGAAACTTTACTACAGCTTGACTGCCTGACTAAATCCATGGTCCCAGCACTGTCACAAACTATTATGCCAATGAAAGCTGGTGCTAGAGCATCTATCTACTCCGTTTCCACACAGTTACCCTTTTTTTTTATTGTTTCTATTTATTTTTTTGAGATATCTGAGCTTTATGAAGGAAAGCTACAAGGGATTTGCTGCAAGAAACATATAATGAATTCAAATGATTTTCTAAACTGAATGCACAAAAGCCGGCATAAAGAGCATAAAGAAATACTCCTTTCACTCTAAAGCAGATATTCACAAGTGAGCGGGTTGCTTAGATGTCCACCAGTGTTAAGACATCCGCCAGTCAWTTAAGAAATAGTGTTTTTTTGGTCACAATTTCCAGATTGTCGGGGAAAACGTTCCTCCAGAATGTACATTTTTTTTATAAACTCTTGGGAGATGGCRTTTTCTGCCTTCAAAAGCAGAATTAATTTATATGAACAACCATGAGGACCATGTTTGGGTCCCAGCACAGTGTTTGCATCTTGTGTTTTGTGCTCATAAATCCCTACATGTGGCAGAGGCCATTTGCCAAAGGGAGAAGTGATGCTCTTTCCTTCAAAGTCAAATGCTAACTCGAGCTACAATTCAGCAGAACCACRTCTAAACACAGCATGACGGACTCATCCGAAGATTTTCCCTCATAAAAGATAATTCATTTCAAAATCTATGGTTGGAAAGACCTTGCATTAGATTTTTTGGTTCAGGCTTACAATGCTGAAGGAGATCAATACAGACTCCAGAAAAGCAGTCAGTAAAAACAGATTTACAATGGAAATCTCCAGGCTTCAATCCGTTGTCTTCCAGAATTTATTTCAGCAAGAGGAAAGATGTCAATCTGAAATGGTTTGCTGAAAGGCAGATGTCCAGGTGTCTCACTACCATATATGGGTTCATTTTTCAGTGTTTAAATTTGTGAAAACCCAAGAATAGATCAGCTGTAGCAGATATGCACTTTAGCAAATTCTTATTGTGATCAATGGAATAAACTCTCCAGTCCTAAGAAATACTTGGACTTAAAAACTACAAATATTAAAATAGTACACAAGCAGAATATGGAAAGAATAATGTTCATGGATAAGKAAAAGCTATGGGATTTAGATGTTATCTTTTTTTTTGAGGAAAAAGTCACCAAAATGTATATTTTTGAGATATATTTGTAAAAGTAATTAAACTAAATCTGTTAAATCCTAAACTAAGTAGTCTCTGAAAGTCTGTGATAACTAGTGCTTTACCAATTTATTTTCTTGATTCTTGATGCATAAAAATCTGTAATTCTAACAAAGAAACAAGCTTAGATGCCCAAGGGTAAAGGATTTTGTCTTGCAAGAGCCAAATGATAAAAATAAATCGTCTAAAAGAAAGACTATATTTTTCTAMAAACTTCTAGGATTGCTAAGCACAGACCAAGAAAAGTTAGAATAACAGATACCAATAATACACAGTATCCACAAAAAATATCAGTCTGATTTCCAGAAGATGGCAAATGGTCTAACTTGACAAATTACAGTCACTTCTTTAACAACCACTCCCTACTGATATCTTAAATAATCAAGAAACYGCAAAATGAATTTAGTCATAGAATGTAGTCTCTGATACTTGGAGAGRAATAAAAGAGGACCACTTCATCTCTTTAAGATATTCTTTACTTGAGGAATTRTATCTTCCATTCTTTTTGCCCTACTAGCTTCACATGAAGGCACAATGTCAGCCTGTTCTGTAGGTTCATTCTAAGAATTAGCTTGCAAATACATTTTGCAGCTCATCTGTTTTTCTCTAGTGGTATGTGTGCACTGATTTGAGCAATTCTTTGTTTTGCAAGGGTTGATGCTTTTAGTAGCTCAGCTCTAAAGTCCCTGAATGATAACAAGGTCTTTCAGCTCGTCTCTTAGACAGCTGATTTACTTTCCCCTTCTGAAAGGAGCATGACCTTWAATACAGACTATGAATCATTTAATTTATTTCATAGTAGACACGTAAAAACAAACCATAAATTGGTTGTAAACATACATATGTACTCTGAAGTACTGATCCCTGATGCCTGGAGCTGAAGGTGTTCCAAGAATTCAAAATTTCAAAACTTTTTTTCTTCCCCTTTGAAAGTTGCAGCACAGCTTCCAGGCTCATGCAGAGAAATCAGTGTTTTTGGTTTTACACATCTCTTTTTCAGCTACTTAGCCATGCTAGTACTACTAATTAAACTGTAAAGGCTTTCACAACTGTTCTCAACGACGTGACAGGCATGTGGAGGAGGAGACGTCCCCACAACCATTTGCTTTGCGAAYTGCGAAACAGTTTCTGTATTTCATTCATCTCTGATTTATTTAAGTAAATGGTGAGGCAAACTGGGCTCCCAAAGGTCCCTCTTCTGTGAAATACTGGAGCAGTAAGAGCTGTGGCTTGGGTAAGGAATGTAAGCAGAATATATTTTCTCTCCAGCCTTCTTCCTTTGCCAAGAATAACAGAAACCTGAGGACATGGTGGGAGAACTTACTTCACTGCTCCCTTTATGTTATACAGTACTTGAATTTTTTGTGACAGGCAGACTGTATCTCCAYACTGTGCCCTTCTTTGATAGCAGTGATTTTGTAGATTCTTGAGGACAGGAGAACTGAAGGCAAGGACCAGCTTTGCTAGCACGCTGCCACCTGTACTGAATTTCTAATCAAGAGCTTAGCTCATGGTGCTGAAGGACCTCTCAAAACCTGAAGCTGAGAAAATGAGAAGCTGGGACTGTATCTGACTTCAGATGGCATGCAGCTGCCCAGAGCTATGCTCACGTTGGTCTGAGCTGTAAGCTCTGAGCTGCTTTGTCAGCTGTCATCACGATTTACATTTACAAGGTAAATTCTAACTTAGGGACTTCATATTCAATTGGTTTTATGTCACTTTTGATCATTGGCTTTCATTATACTCTCTTTCGCAAGTGCTACTGCTACCCTGATGGTGTCAGACACTGACAACTGTTCTTATCTCCTGTTAGTCTTCAGCTAAGTTGCTCTACACTGAAGTATTGAAATTTTGCAAAGAATATGTTATCTCTGGAAGATGGAAAGGATTTAGGTGGTACACATCAAGGTTTTAGGTGGTACACATCATGAAAACAGTAGGTCTTTAATTACTGCAGAGATGTTGGGGTAGGTGGATCCCAAAAAGGCTGATCATTCCTGTAAGGAACCTATAAGTCCAAATGCAGGTTCTAGAAAGTAGGAGTGCTTTCAGAATCGCTGGCTCTTGCATATATATTTATTCTGAGACCTACAAGCAAATGGAATGAGAAAAGCACAGATTACAGTTTGGGGGCTTTCAAATCTTGCCAAAAAGTTCAGCATGAAGTGCTGTTCCTATTTTATTTTATTTTTTTGTGGCAAAACTCAACCCAATCCTTCATGCCAAGCAGAGAGTCTCTGTAGAGAAGTGGGCTGTGACTCTGCTACTGAAACTTGCAATATACTACAGTAAGTATTGTATAAAAAGAGAAGTTTAGAGAAGGAAAATTGAGCATGGAAAAATTGTAGCAGAGCATTTGCAGGCACCTCTGGTCTCACAGTTAATTGTTAACTTATTTTCTTGTTGTAGAGATCCATGTGRCCATCAGTGCTGGTTTTCAATATCTGAGAATCCCAAACGTGCATCTAATTTCCCAGTATCTGATTTCTATAATTATCTTACCAGAAAAGAACATTTTCCATGTCATATTGAGGAGCCTGCAGACTACTGTGGCAAGCATCTGCTAAAATATAAGAATTCCAGCATGGTTTCATGACAAAATTATTTTTCAAAACTCTGGAATTTGTKCTGTGTGTCAAGTATGTAGACTCTTGACCCCTCTTCCTATCCAGTACCTTAGTTTTAGGTGGATCAGCATTTTATGTGATTGCTGGTGATTATAATCTACCATTTTTTTTTCTAAATTATGCTTGCCATTTACATCTTATTTTTCTTTTCTGTGCAATTCTCAAAGCTAACCTATTTGCTCCTTTTAAAAGTTTTACATATTTTTGCCTCTGTTAACTAAACGGTAATTTAAATGGGAGCTAAATCATATTTTCATTTATAAGCTGCTTTCATCAGCCATTGATCATTGAGAAGTTGATGAATGTAGAGAAACAAAACAGCATTACAAATCTTAAATATATTTTGTTCCTTAAATAAAGAAGCAATTTTAAATAATGAATCATCAAGCCTACTTGACACACCTGCACTGTGACCTSACTCATCCTCTACATTCAGTAGACTGTATTCACTTGATTTCTACCAGCTGTGAAAGGATCCTATGGCAGTTATGATGCAGACATTTGCATTGCACATACCCATGTATAGCGCAGCTCCTGTGCCTTTTCCTCAGCAAGAGATTGATTGCAAAATAGTGAGTCTCACCATCCAAGTTTTAGTGTTTTCATCTTTTCTTTCATCTTCCAGTCAAAGCATCTCCCTTCCCTACAATTGTCAGACTTTTCCTAATATGGAGGAGCTGATGGATTTGGTGTCTTTTTACAGATTTATTTTTCAATTTTTAGGAGCATAAGTGACAGAATGGAACATTTCAGAGACTTTGAAAAAGTGCACATTTTCTAGACAATGCGAGGAATGATCAGACATTTGCCCTACTAGGTGCAATGAACAGTAGCTCTCAATCTGCTATTCTTTCTTGTCTAAAAATTAAGTGAATCTCTAGACATTTCAGTCATCAGGACCTTCCTAGAGGAAGAAAATGGAACTGTATTCTAAGATACTTATGAGGACTTAAACATGCTGGTGCTTTTTTTTTTTTTTTTTTTTTTTTTTTAAATCAGAAGTTTTCCAGGCTGTCCTTTGCTAGGTATCTAACAAGATTATCTTCCAGTTCACTGAGTGTTTTTGCCAAGCCTGGCTTGTGCTGACCAACCAAATGTGTAGGCAATAACAAGCTGAATGTTCACTTAAAGCCTGATTTAAAAATGTTCAACCCATAAAACCCGTATGTGGCTTGAATAGATTGTAGGGAAAGGATAAGCAATGTTTTGTTATTCCTTGGCTTGATCTCGAGGCAGAAGGTCCACAAGACTTCAGGCTGTGTTCACTCTCCACAGTATGCGGGGTTTGGACAGCAGTATCTGCAAAGCAGTTCAGATCCATATACTTTTGAAAGAGTAGAAGACACTTGACCCTATAGAGTCAGAGGTTGACTTTATAGGGTTTGGATTGGAAAATTCAGGTAATTGCATGTTTATTCACCTTCATTAGTAGGGGTGAGCTCCACCATTACAGAGAAAGGACAAACTACAAAAGTAGAGGCACATCTCTGTTTCTGAATGGGCAGCTCAAACATAAGGAGGATGGGACATGGTATTGGCAAGAGTACAGCTTCAGAAAGGCTTAGCTACTTATTCATTTAGTGAAATGGTATGATCAGGACAGTTTAAACAAAATTTTTAATCAGTGGTTATCTCTCCTATCATCTGTCCTGACGTTGAGGAGTTATTCTCCACTCCTCCCATGTAAGATGGTGACATTTCTCATCTGATAGATGAAGTTTCTTTAACAAGTGACAGCAAGATAAGCAGTTCTCTGACAGCATTGATTAGGTGCTTTGATTCCCAGATGACTGAACTAATCTGAGGGTTGTTGTGAGTCTTTGGCATATGCAATCAGAAACTTGGAGTGATAAAAACACATTCACACGTTTACTGTTGATCTGTTCAACTTTAAATTTAGTAACCCAAAAAAGCATCATATTAACTTCTTCCTCAGGCCTAGATAAGCCTGTTTTCTGTAGACGTGTCATATTCCAACTTTTGACTGAAATCCCATAAATGAACTACTTTGCAAGCAAAAATTTGAACTCCCCAAACTTCCTCTTTGTTTTTTTACTAAAAGGAAGACCCAAAGAAAATGTAAATGCAATAGGAGAATTTTGAGGGTGGCAATTCCCTTCCTTAGTCAAAAAATATATTAGTTGAGGATTTAAGTGAAGTCAGAGAGCAATATTAACAGGGTAGAGGATATAAATTCCCAAAACAACATAACACATGAAGAAGTCATAAGGAAACTTCTTGCTTTTCTGAATCTAGAGATCAGTTTGGAACAGTGTTTAGGAATGCAAACTGCTAATAAACTACTAAATTTCTATGGTTATATCTCTTTGGAAAATTCCAGTAATTTTCAATGGCAATAGATCTATTAATTTCACTTATTAAGTATATACAACCATTTTTTTCATTGAAAACTTGAGGTTTATAAAATGATGTGGTCTATTCCACAGAAGATCTTGTTCAGGAAGACACATTCTATTACAGTGAAGAACCTATTTTTTTTTTCTTCGTTGTGAAGATAGAACGCATGTTATCYCTTTCTTAAAGTCTTACCTTAGCTAGGTCTCCTTATTCTTTCTTCAGTACCAGTTACCCCCAAAGTGCAAAGAAAAAATTAAGGGTAGGAATTAGTATTTAATCAGCTTTCAGGAGAATGGGTGYGAAGAATAATTCTGGCTGTTCCAAGGCAACTTCTTGATGTGAGATATTTCTCACCTCCTACATGAGGAAGTCTCAGTTATTGGAAAGAGAAATGTTCGTGAAGAGTAAGTGGTGAGATTGATGGCTGTCCATTAGTAGCACACATCCAAATTGTGATCGTTGTTGGCTGCACCATCTTGTCATCAACTTCCTTCACGAGAACGTTTGGCCTCCTAAAGTCTTTGGTAGTGGGGAGAAGGCTGRCTCTACAGTTGAAAATAAGAGATACAAGTTCTGCCATCAGAAAGGTCATTTCTTCAGGAGTTGATATTTTAACCAGTCCACAGTAATAGAGCCCTCTTCCCCATGTTGTTCCCCATGACTTTTTCTTTTCTTTTTTTTTTTTTTTCTTTTTTGACATTTCAGTTATGATCACAGCTTCAAAGGACATGAAAAACTCAATTGCTGCCTATAGAGTAATGAAAGTGCCTCAGAGACCAGATTTAGCCTTCTGAAAACAAATAGACAAATGAGGTGAGGAACACGGACTGACCTTTCCCTGGCTGCACAGTCTACAGAGTTTGCAGCGTTAGTATTAAAATCTGGAGCTTGCCCTTCTGCAAGGGGAAGCAACTCAGAAAAGGTGCTGGAGGCAACAGGTTGTGGGAAGGTGGCAAGTGCCTCAAATCTAAATAAGCACAGGTAACTTGTCAGAGTATTTCTATCACTTTGAACCTGCTTACTTTTCACCCCTGGAGTGAGTTGTGAAGATGTTTGTGAAGTTTTTGGAGAGAGTTGTATGTGAACTAAGAGGAAGGAAAAACTGTTGTTTTCTGGTGCAAAGAGCCTTGCTCTGCAGGTTGAACCAGGCAAAAGTCTGGAATCATTTCATGGAGCTTTGCTCTTTAGTCCCAGTGGATCATCTATAGTCTCAGAAATGAGACAGAACAATAAAAATATTCTGTACGTCCTATTATTATTATTATTATTATTAGAAAGTAGCCAGAAATAAAGATACTCTTTGTCAAACTAGTTGGGCAAGAACAGATAATCTCCTTCTATAAAAGGCTGTGTGTTTCCCCTTAGTCCTCACATTCAGATCTGAGGAATGGTTTATGAACAGGGTGGCACCAATGAGCACTGTGTAGGCTAAGATTCACCAGAAAACAGTCCCACTGGTGCTAGGATGCCAAGGCTCTTTCGAGGTGACATGATGTCRTTATACCTGGGGTTGTGCAGCTCTCCAAGCTGTTCATCTTCCTTTACTATTTCTGTATATGCACATTTAGGAGAATTAGTGGTGGTATTTCTTGCAATAAACTGTAAGCCTGAGGATTGCTCCGGCTTAATCATGGCTAGGTATTGCCTATATGTTTCCTAGGATGAAGAGAGTTTGAAAAGCCTTAATAAAAGAAACCTTCAGATGAGTCACAGCTGATTAGTCATATGTGGGGTTAGCGTCTAAAGGTTTGGCTGCCCTCTCACACCTCCGTTCTTCAAAATTTCCAGCAAGTTTCATCGTTTCTCCCACGCTGACCTCCAGAGTGGGAAGATTTCAATAAATATTCACAAAGTCATCTTGCTGTCCTCTGAACCCAGCTCTCAAAATGGCTAAAGAAGAAAGAAACAAATTCAACGGGGAGAGAACTTTACTGCACAGCTGTTGGTCTATTATAWTACAGAGAATTTAAGAATTTTCTAATCCTGCTTTTGTTTGGTCTTTCTCAATATATTAGTCTTTGCCTAGAATAAGCTTCCTGGGACAAGGATAATCATATATATTTGGGTTTCTATATTGATCAGAAAAATCCAAGGTTCATCTTAGACTTAAAAAGCACACACCAAACAAAGCACTACCTTAGCCTCTGTTAGGTTGCAGGCACATGCAAGAGAATGCACAGCATATACGTTACAATCAAATCTGGATTATGTATTGGAAATGTGCCAGAGATTTCAGTCAAGGAAGAATAGCCTCCTCCTTGCCCTGATAGTGCCCTAGCAGCTGTTTAGAATGAAGTAAAATATTCTGAATCAAAATAATTGTAGCAGTGTTTTTTTTAAAAAAAAAAAAAAAAAAAAAAACCAGGTGCAGATATTCCAATAAAGAAGATTTTTGACAGTGATGCAAACAGCCACCAGAGAAAACCGGGCCTCTTAGAGAAATAAGCAATAAGTAATGTAGGAATAGAGGCTAAAAAGTTCAGATCTAAATCCTTGGTAAGAATGGAGATATTTTCACATGAAGGATCAGACAAGTTATCCACACRTAATTCCAAATCTAGTTTGATTAAACATGCCAGCAATTTCTTTAAGAAACAAGACTGCTAATGCAGAAATGGTAGCTTCAAGCACTATAGAAATAGTCTATTTATACCAGAAATTCATGGACTTATACCTTTTCCAGTTACATTACTGCTGCATCTTTCACCAATCCTCTTTATGTTTTTGCTTCGATGCTGTTCATAGTTTAAGTCTTATTTCCATCTCTAATTTGGTTTTCTTTGATAATTAATGTAATTCAAATATTTARTCTTGTGGATTTTAGATTTCAAGGTAGTAAAATTATTTTAAAACAGATGCCTTTACTAAGTTTCTACAAAGCTACAATACAACTATGAGGAAGACAGTCCCAAAGAATCTGGTCACAGCTGGAGAGAAGGCTAAGCCAGGTCTAGATACAAATGCATGATTTTTGGTAGAAAGTCTTGTCAAGGCTTTTACAGATCAGTAAGAGGGCAAGCAAAAAACAAGACACAGAATTTTGCAAGTGACATTTCTGTCTTAAGAGGGTCATAATTTTGCATCAGTCTATTTTACTTTCCTGAAGTTTATACAGATTTTAAGTGGCTTCTCTCTCACACTTTTGCCATAAAGAAGGGCCTGTCACTGTTTTTTTTTTTTTTTCCACTAATTTACTTTGTGTCAAAATAAAGCATGCACATTCTGATAATAGATTTTAGCGTGGCCCTCGCAGCTTTAAAAAAGCATAAGCAAGAACAGAAATGTCAGAATTTGTTTTCACTAGAGCAGAAGGGGAACCCTTGAAATTCCTTTCTAAAACTGCCTATACGACAAAAGAAGAAGCCAGCAACAGAAGAGTCTAATACATTAGAGCCATCATCCAGCCTCATTCTGCTTTTGCCATTTATTTAAAATGCAAGCCTGGAATATGTTTTCACCTGGACTACAGGGAAGATCAATAAATAGTACAAACACCGAGAATGGATCACTACTCAAAGAAGAGTCTAAGGGAAAAGAAAGCCTGAAACCATTAGTATTCCTGAAATGTCACTTTGGCTACAGCCACCCCAGAAAGGAACTAGCTTCGATCAATATCCAAGCAAGCAGCAATAGTTCTGAGCTGCTGGTGTTCTCTTCCAGAATTGCTTTTTATTCTAATTTATTGGAGTTATATTTCTAGAGACAGGAATATCCAGCAGTTTTGGAGGTGTGAGTGGAGATCAATAGTCTAATCTACCAAGAGTGGCAGTCTAAGGCTATGGCTGTACCCTGGGTATTTGAGCAGACTTACAAGTGCTAAAGAAACTGAAGACATGCATTTGAAGCAGGAGGAAGGACTTCCAAGTCCTGAGGCTCACCAGTCAAGTCAAATCAATCAACTCAAACTCAGATTTTTYTTCAGAAGGGCTGGGGTGAGGGTGACACAACGGCACCTCCATTGTGAGAAGCCTCCAAAGMAGTCTTGTTTATTTAATCTATGAAAATAACATGCTGATTGACAGATTTGRTTACCATTCAGGACTACATTGGGCTAGAATAGAAATCAGTARTGAAATAAGATATTTAAGATTAAGACCACACAGGTACAAGAACAAACATGACCAGCAATACATTTGGGTTGGAAATTAGGATACTTCTAGCCATTTCAGGGCAATGAAATTCTGAAACTGCATCCCATTAGGAGAAGCAGAGGCAATTAGTTTGCAAAAAAAATAATAATCTCTTAGGTCTTGCATATCCCATGGGCACTGTGGGCGATCTGAACAAATTGAAGATATGGCCTGAAGTAAATAGGATGTAGTTCAAAAGAGAAAAGTATGAAATAAAAATTTTAACTGGGAATAATCAACTACAAGGAAACAAGATGAAAAATTACTAATTCTAAAGTCCTGTGTAAAAACTACTTGGAAAGAGCTGTGGATAAAAGAAAACATGAGTCAASATCACCAGGAAAACACATATGTCTTACTGGATGCCTGCAGCATTCCTATCAGTGTAAGGTATGTTAGAAATACAAGTATGTGAAGAATATCAGTCAGTTCTCAAGCACAGAGAAATGTCCTAGCTCAGACACTCTAGTTTTAGAAATATGTGGATGACTCAAAGTCTAAAAAAAGCAAGAGGAATGATGAGACTTTGGAGAAAGAACTTCTAAAGGAAAAGCCAGAAGAATTGGATGTGTTAAGCCCATAGAAGACAAAAAGAAAGCAAAAAATATATATATAAAACAATTTCTGCAAAGAAGAATCTCCCTTCAGTGTCCACTGAGAAAAAGACAATTGCAAGAACTGGGAATTTGTTTCTGAATTAGAAAATTCTTTAACAGCAAAGCAGAAAGTTAGCATGTATGTGACTTTCATGCCTAGAATGTATTTAGAACATGTTAGACAGCCACTTAGTGCGAGTGGTTTGCAGAGACTTGTTCCTCTTTCACCATAATGAGATGGATTAAATAATTTCCCAAGATCCAGTTCCACTATTGTAGGCAATTTATCACAAAATGTAGATGACATTGGACAGTCTTTGATAAACACGAGTGTGCAAAATATGGTCACTTCAGTAAATATTTTYGTTCAGTATTTTTCTTTTAAAAAAAACTCATTTAATAATAACTAATAGGAAGATATATTAATCTTTAATTAGATCTTCAAAGGAAAAAGAATCACCTTTTATAACACGATGCTTTTTTTTGAACAAGTAAAATATGGAAAAGATATGTAGATGCACTTTTAATAAATTTTCTGTAGAACTTTCAAAAAAAAATTCTGTCTACATTTTTATTAGATGACACATCCACACTAAGTTTTAAAAATAATTCATATCTCAGCCTAAAGGAATAGATAAATAAAACCTGAGAGGTCTTCTTAATTAATGAACAGCAAGACCTCTTGACCTCATTGTTTTATCAGTTTTATCTTTCATTAATGTCTGTAAAACTTTCAAAAACCTACTGATTTTTCTAAGCCAGACTAAAATTCCATCTCCATTCAAGAGATTACCAAAGCAAACCTTGCCTCCATCAATATCATTTTCTCTTAACCTAGCTAAAAGTTGAAATGCGAAGCTGCCTGTTCAAAATGTTCATTTTAATTGTTGTCTTAAGCAAATTACATTGATCCCACTATAATTCTAGTCGATGAGTGTCTTTGCTGGATACCATGAAAGYTGGATCAGTTCTAAAAATATTGTCCCAGTCAAGTACATCTGACAGCAAGGAAACTCAGTACTATCTAGCTTCAGGGAAAATTGCTTTGCTTCAAAGAAGTATACTCAATGAGAGTTTATGCAATTATATTTTTCTCTCTCTCTTCTAATAATTGTTAGGCATCCTGTTGCTATTAATTTAGTTGAGACTTTTGCCAAGGAAGTATTTCAGAAGTTCTC